CGGTGTAGGCAGCTGCAGGGCTTCTCCCTCCCTGCCCTTAGGGTTTGGGGGTTTCCTCCTTCCCCCGGGGGGGAGTCTCTATGCTGGAGAACGTGGAACAGGGAGGTGAGAAGGGGCCGGATTTAGAGCTGGGGCCCCAAAGCAGAAGGCCCTAGGGAACCTCATTCTTACCAGCTGCATGAGATTTGTGAGGGTTTGAAACCCCTGAGCCCAGAGATGCCTCTAGCCCAGCAGCTGCCAGCCGGTCACTGGGAACTGCAAACTCCATTGGGCATCCTATGGGCTGTGGATGATCAGCTCCTCCTAGTGGTCAGTGTCACACACAGCCTGGGGCTGTTCCTCTGCATGGCTGTGGAGCAGCGTCAATTCACAGTCAGGATGTGTCTAGACTATATGGCTCCGTTGATGGAGCCATGTAGATGAGTGTACTTGGCAAAGGGAAATGAAGTGGCGATTTAAATAATTGCAGCTTCATTTACATCAAAACGGCCGCTGTGCTGTGCCGATCAGCTGATTCTTGGCACAGTGCAAACCAGCACAATTCAGATTAATATAAGTATCCACTGAGAGTAGCGTTTGCCTTTTACATGTCCTAGTCTGCTCCCAATAGGGCTGTCAGCAAAACCGTCCAGTGGGATATAACCTCCTTTAAAGGTCTCTGTACCGTTGGTGCACATTTCTCAATCTGAAGGCACAAGTTTGTAACTCATGCCATTGCTGGAGTATTTATGCTAATCCCCAGCAGCTCTGAGCGTGAAGGGAGAAGTGCAGCTGTAGTGGTAAGTGGCCGGCGTGGAGGTGTGTGGCCCCTGTGCATTGCTAGTGAGAAATGTCATTCCTTTACATGCTGACCCAGCCCACCCCATCGCCCTCCTTTAGGCTAATTTTCTACGAAATTTTAAAAGCTTCACAGGGGTAGCCAAGTTAGTCTGTAACGGGAAACACTTAAATAACAACAGTACCTTGAGAAACTATCAAAACATGTAGATGGTACCATGTGCTTTTGTGGGCACTACGCACGTTTTAAAATGAGTGGAGTTATTAAGGATCCAGCTATGAAATGGTTCTAGGACCTGGATGATCAGGCCCCACAACTTCTTCAGTCGCAGCGATCAGTCCCTTACTCTGGCAGCTGCAGCCAGTTGGGTGCAGGCTGAGACATTCTAGAGTCAGGAAGCTATCGGTGCATGGGTAGATGAAGGTCACTCTGCTAGATGCAGACAGACTTATGCCAGTGGAGAGGAACAGGGAGCAGAATCACACTGGGCTCCTTCACAGGATTTACCCTGTGACTTGAACTCAGGCAGAATTGGGGGGAACTTAGGGAAGTATTATCCTCCGCCTCTCCCCTCGAACTGCAAGCCTGCGGGAGGCAGCCTGTGTGTGCAATGCAGTGAGATCTGCAGAGAAGTCAGACGTTGTCCTGCTCCCAATGGTGCCCCTGGGGCCGGGAGCCAGAATCAGGTTGAAAAAGAAGGAGATTTGCTCAAGTACCATGATCTGTCCCGAGCCTGGTGAACTGCCCAAGTAACAGGTGCGGCATGTTCATCGGTCCCAGCCACAAGGAGGAGGAGTCCTGTGGCACCAACATACAAATACATTTCTTTGGGCAAAAGCTTCCGTGGGCTGGAACGCACTTCCTGCCATGTGCTCGGGATCCCACTGACCCCAGGACACAACGACACTGCAGAGGAGCCGCCTTTGCCTCCTGAGGCCCAGCGCTGCTCTCACGGGGGATTCTCCACAAACCCTCCCAGGGTGAGACCCCCTGAGGTACTCAAGCCCGGCTCTGCACATGCCCAGTCCTGCAGGTGCCGGGTGAGAGCCCTCATGGCACTTGGCAACGGCACCGCTGTGCACTTACCTCACGCCTCTGAGCATCGGATTCAGAAAAAGAGCAGCTGGTGGGCAGATGAGGACCCTGACCACCTTCCTGAGAGGCAGGGACGTGGCTCCCTCCCTTTCCTCAGGACCCCCAGGGTTCTCAGGGGTGAGAGCCCTCACGGCACTTGGCAACGGCACCGCTGTGCACTTACCTCACGCCTCTGAGCATCGGATTCAGAAAAAGAGCAGCTGGTGGGCAGATGAGGACCCTGACCACCTTCCTGAGAGGCAGGGACGTGGCTCCCTCCCTTTCCTCAGGACCCCCAGGGTTCTCAGTCACAAGGGAAGCTTGGCAGGGGCAAGAGACACCCATCCCAAAGCTGACTGCTTTGGGCTTCCCAAAACCCAGAGTGCACCTCTGAACACACTGGATCATAGAGTCGTGTCTGCAAACTTATGGGCCTGTGCTATAGAATGGATGAGACAGTCCTAATCCACTCCACTGGCTACTAAGTAGCCATACTGTGACACCAGGCTGCCCAGAAGTTTGTGTCTCACTTCCCCATCAGGCTGTGTCACTGTGAGTAGAGTGTCATCGTACCCCACGTAACAGTAATAATCAGCCTCATCTTCAGCTTGGACCCCAGTGATGGTTAACGTGGCCGTGTTGCCAGAGCTGGCCCCAGAAAATCTCTCAGGGATTCCGGAGGGTCTCTCACTATCCTTATATATGACGAGTTGGGGGGCCTGGCCAGGTTTTTGCTGGTACCAGTGCACATAGTATTTGTCAAACTTTTCTCCTGTGCAGGTGAGCTGAGCATTTTGCCCTGGAGACACAGACACTGAAGGCGGCTGGGTCAGCACGTACTGGGCGAGCGAATCTGCCAGAGGAGAAGAAAACCAAGGGTAAAATCATTATGATAAGAGCTCTCTGCCAGCAGCCCAGGGAACCACTTAGGACTTTGAAATCAAAGGCCCTTGTGATTGAAACACTGAGAAAAGTTCCTCCCCTCCCCCACTTCATAGCACCTGAGCAGTAGGTGAGCAACGCGAGGAGCAGGGGGGCCCAGGCCATGATGGATAAAGATGAGTTCGGCTTCCTGAGCCAAAAAGGTCTGTGGCTGGGACCCTCCGATTCCCCCTTAAAACACCAGCACTGGGGAATGGCCCCTTCATGCAAATCTGCTCCCTGTTCATTGGTTGTTGCTGGCTCCTCCCTCCACTCAGAGACAGCTACTGACAGGTCTAGGAGTTGTTTTATTTCCCACTTATGAGGAAAACTTGGCTGGGATGATTTAGTTGGGGTCGGTCCTGCTTTTAGCAGGGGGTTGGACTCACCTCCTGAGGTCTCTCTCAAATCTATAATTCTGTGAGTATGAAAAATAAAACTCATTGTGGGACGAGGGTCTCCAGAAGTGCTATATCTGCTTAGACCATTAACGGCCAGAGCACTGCCTCCAGGGCTAGGAGTCTCAAAACTTGGTTCAGCACTGCCAGGCAAGCTGGGTTTTTGTCCTGGCGCAGGACTCTTTGCAGCTGCAGGAGAGCACAGCTGATGTGGGGGTGTGTCCTTGGTGGGATGGCAGCTGGGACAGGCTGGCACTGCAGGTTCTGCAGGTGTCTGTGATCCCACAGTATTCTTGCAAGTTAAGGAAGTATGGATTGGATAAATGGACTGTAAGGTGGATAGAACTCTGGCTAGATTGTCAGGTTCGATGGGTACTTATCAATGGTCTGATGGCATCTGGGATTAGAAGCTGCTGTGAGGTGGTTTCAGGGGCTGTGGAGTGAACAATATGGCTGCTGCTGGGTAGTTATGGGGCTGTGAGATGGTGCTGTGAGGGACACACTACTGGGGGAGGGGAGGCTCTGACCCCTCCTGCGCTGCCCCCTGCTCCAGAGACGCACACCCAGAGATGGTGAAGAACACACCACAGATGCTGTGAGCCATGCGGGGGCTGGTGCCCAGCTGGCTCCTGACAGCGTTCAGTGACTGCTCCCTGCTCAAGGCCAGGGTGTGCGCTTGGGGAGGGGGATGTGTCAGCAGAAGGAGGGGGAGAATTTCTGCTCCTCTCCCCTTATTTCCCTCCTGCTGGGTTGGGTTTTGATGAACTCGTGGTGCCCATCCAGCCCCAGCAAGCAGGGTGCCAGTGTGAACAGCCCTGCCCCAGAGAGGCGCAGAGAGGGGAGTGGGGTGCGTGGGGAGGGGGACTCCAACGCACACAGTGCTCTGAGGTCACATGACCATAGCGAAAGCTGGTGGGGGGTGAAAAGCCCCAAAGCCCAGAGACGTCTCCAGCCCAGTGCTGGGCCCCCTGACACTTGTGCACTGCTGGACTCCCAGCGCCAGTGCTGGACAGGGGAGGGCTCCCCCTGCTGGTCAGTGTTGGTGTTGCTCTGGCCAGTCCTTGCCGCCTTTCACAGGCGCTTAGACCCTGCTGGCTGACTCCTCCGAACGCTGCCCCCACTGACTGTCCCACTCTGCAGGTGCCACCTCTGCACAGCTGTTTCCAGCCATCCCGCTGTTCCTGTCAGGGTGTTCTTCTCTGGACTGATCACTCCCCAGCCTGCTCACAGCTGTGGAAGGGATTCCCCCAGCACGTGGGCACTTGCACCTGCCTGGAGAGGAGGGAAGCCACCTCCCTCCCCGTAGATATTTCTCTCTTTCTCTCAGACCAGTATCCCTTTTGTGACACCAGTGTCAGTCGGTTGTGAGCCATGGCAGAGGTTTGGCCCTTGAATGCCGGCTCCCTGGCAGAGGGGCAATCAGTGCTATGGAGTCTGGGTCTATTCTGAGGAGTTTTATTCACTGGTTCTCCCAGGAATCTCAGTCCAACACTTTGCCAGGGTGCCAGTAAACATGGTGCTTCCAGAACTGACTCTGGTCAGAGCCTGGGCAGACAGCAACTCTCCTGCGGTTCCCTTGGCCTTGTAGAGCCAACACCTGACACAAACACTTCTATCCAGGCTAAAAATTTGTTCACACTCACTAGAAAGTACAGCTGGAGAGATTCTGTGTCAGAGCCCCAGCTGAGGAGGCAGCTTTGACAGTTGGAGGCCACTGAGCTGTGGAGATGTAAAGGGAGATGTTGTATGAGGCTTAACCGGGGCAGCAGCTCCACTCACTTCCCCTGCTCCCCAGCAGATGTGAGTGTGAAGGGAGAATTGCAGCAGTTGTGAAAACTCCTTGGAAAGCAGGAGGGTGGCTCTTGGGTGCTCAGCCAGGACTCTTATTCTTTTACAGTCTGATCCACCCAGCTCCATTGACCAATAGAGAATGGGCTGGAGGAAGGGCAGAGATGGTTCAGCCAAACCGCAGGGGTAACAGTCTGAGGAGGGGAAGGTCTGAGGAGGGGAAGGTACATAAAGGGCTGTTTCTGCCCCTGTCAGAAACAGGCAATCTGAGGCCTTGAGCAAGCTACTGTATCCACTGACACTGTATGAGAGACCCATCCCAGCTCCATTGACCAATAGAGAATGGGCTGGAGGAAGGGCAGAGATGGTTCAGCCAAACCGCAGGGGTAACAGTCTGAGGAGGGGAAGGTCTGAGGAGGGGAAGGTACATAAAGGGCTGTTTCTGCCCCTGTCAGAAACAGGCAATCTGAGGCCTTGAGCAAGCTACTGTATCCACTGACACTGTATGAGAGACCCATCCCGACCTTGTCAAGGCCAAGGTCACCAACACAGGAGGGAGTACAGCAAGTGGATTCCATCCAGTGTAGACTGTGTCACAGTGACAAGCACTGCTGTGCCACACAGCACAGTAATAGTCAGCCTCGTCCTCCACTAGGGCCCCAGAAATGGTCAAATAGCCAGTGTTGCTGGTCATGTCCTTGGAACCAGAAAACCGGGCAGGGACCCCGGAGCCCTGGTGTTTGTCAGAATCTGACTTGTATCTCAGCAGGTACCGTGGGGAATTCCCTGGTTTCTGTTGGTACCAGAACATGCTGTAGCCACTGATGCTGGTCCCACTGCTCATGGTGCAGGAGAGTTTCACGGTGTTTCCTGGGGACACTGACACGGTGTTTCCTGGGGTCATCTCATGCTGAGGCGGCTGAGTCAGCACATTCTGGGAGCTGGAACCTGGGAAAAATGGTAAAAATCTGTCAAACCCTCCTTGTCCTTCCCCAGCCACCAGTGAGTCAGTTTGTGCCTCGGGCTCCAGCAGTAACTTCAATGGGTATTTAACCTGCCCTCCCTGTGCTCACCTGTGCAGCACGTCCCCAGCAGGACAATGAGGGGAGCCCAGAGCATGGTGAGGAGATCTCAGGCCCTCGGAGCCCTGCCAGACAGGGTGACTGTCCCCTCCAAGAGCTGCCTGCTGGCGTTGGGAGAGACTGGTCACGCTGACTGTGCTGTAGAGTTCCTGACCCTTATATCAGTCTCTGTGAGTGAGGAGCAGCTAAGCTCCTCCTTTATGCTTATCTGCTCGTGTCCCATTTGGGCTTTGTCATGAGAAAGTCATGTGAGCGGAACAGCCTGCATTGGGTGATGATCTTTTACTTTATAAGGGCTCTTTTCCAGTTCCAGTGAGTTTGATGTTAACGAATTTGTTCATGTTTCTGCTGTGCTACCGAGACTTAACATGCTCCAAAGGGTTAACTGCTCATGAACACACCTCATAGCCATAGACTTGAAGAGCTTGTAGTAAATTGAGGGTCAGTAACATGGAGTCAGCAGGCCTAAATAGAGGCCTGTAACATGAAAACATCAACAGGCCTGCAATCTAGTGAGCAAGACTTTGGTTCAGTAACAGGAGCCAAGAAAGAGGCCCTATTGATAATTGTGTGATTGTGTAAGTTAGGTCGAGCATGGAAGGACACAGGGAGGTACTGGGTACAGACTGTGAGCCAAAGAGGAGTAATGGAACATCTTAATAAGAAATGTCTTGGTACAAAAACTCCCTAAAAACTAATGCACATACCGACCTAGGTTCAGGACTGGGTCGAAATTGACAGCATGAAGGATAGTAAGAAAGCCCCCCTTCCGTAAGGTGAGGGGTGGTAACTAGGCAACAGAGGGTGGTAACCTGGTGCGTAAAGAAATGATGTAAGTTGTTTGTACCTGTCTATAAAAGGACACCGCAGAGGGTGCTCTCCGGCCGACCTTGGGGGGAGCGCACTAGGCGCCTGAACAGCAGGTGTCATTGCCTAAACTTACAGAGTGCACAGTAGCTTACTAACTGCTGTTAAAATTTGTTATATAGGCAATAGGCCTGCCCGGTGTTGGTACCTTGTCAACGCGGGCCATAGTGCCCAGTGGTGTAACATTGTACTGATCTCTGTTGCGAGAGCTGCTGACTGGTGTTGGGAGACACTGGTCGCGCTGACTGTGCCGTAGAGTTCCTGACCCTTATATCAGTCTCTGTGAGTGAGGAGCAGCTAAACTCCTCCTTTATGCTAATCTTCTCATGTCCTATTGGGCCCTGCCATCACCTGAGAGAGTCATGTGAGCAGGACAGTCTGCTCTGGGTGATGATCTTCTACTTTGTAAGGGCTTGTTTCCAGTTCCAGTGAGGTTGTTGTTGACGATTAAGGCATGATTTTGCCCACCTCCTTATACTGACCTGAAGAACAAAATTTGCTAATGAGTTCTTCACATGGCCAGAGAAATGAACAACACAGCGGAATGGCTGGCCTTTGACAGTTCCGTTGTACTGTCCTGGAGAACAACATTTGCTACTGGGTTCTTCACTGGGGCAGACAAATGAACAACACAGCGGAATGGCTGGCAGCACTTGTATGTAACCGCCTACCTGCCCTGGGCAGACTCTTCCTAGCTGTGCTTTAGACCAACCCATAGGTTACAAAGCAAGAAGAGACTCCTAGGTGATCATCCAACTTGATCAGCATGTAAAAGTCACAAGGCATTTCTTTTGCAACCAACACATCTCTTAAAAACATCCCTTCTGAAATTAAATGGTGCCAGTGGTGGAGAATCCATCATGAGCTGCTGTAATTTGTATCCTGACTGTACCCGTACTCTCATGTTAAGTGTTCAAGCCATAGTTCCAGTTTGGATTTTCTAGTTCTAACTTCCAGCCATTGGATGTGGCCAGCATCTAGCACTGCACAT